CGGGAGCGGCCACTGCACTCCAGTCTGGGTGACAGAGTGAGACTCCAACTCAAAAAAATAAATAAATAAATAAATAAATAAATAAAATAAAAATAAATAAAGTGGGGAAAAGGCAGACCCCAAAAACACAGGGCAGGAGAGAACCCAGCACAGGGCCTCCGCAGGGCAGGAGGTGATGCTGGCAGTGTTCAGAACCCCCATAGGAGGTGGGGGTGCTCTGTGGGGGCCATTTTACCAGGGGAGGCGGGGGCTCAGAAACAGCCCTGGCTCGTGTCCAGGGACCCGCAGAGTCAAGGTTCAAGCGTAGGTGTGTTTGGTCCACATTAGTGGGGAAAGCAGCAGAACCTAGGCACCTGCCCATCCTTCTGCTTGGGGTCCGCAGCTGGGGGTAGGGGCTTAGTGTCCTACTGTGGTGGGAGGAGCAGCGGGCCCAGTCTGACCTGACACCTGGGGTGTGGTTCTGTCCTTGATTAGGCCCTGGCCACTGCTTGCTGGTCGGTCCTGAAAGCCAAGAGGAGACTGCTGATGGTGAGTGGGTAGCAGGCCCCGCGGCACGCCACTGGGAAGGGTGGGGGTGGGTGTGCACGGGCCCACGGCACCTCTCGCTGCCTGCTCTGCAACCACCTGCTACCTCCTTGGCCAGGAGCTCCTCAGAGGTGCTCGTCAATCCACTTCGCCTCCCTCCACCCTGGGCAGAGCACAGAGCAGGCGTGGAGTGGGAACAGGGCATCCCCAGGGAGGAACGATGCCCCTGGGAGCTGGCAGACCCCATCCCTCCTGCTGGACTGCTGGTACCTGTGCTCCCTGGTGGCCACTGCCCATCATCTGGGCAGTGACCCCTCATTCCTCTCTGGGAGCCAGGCTCTGCCTCCTCTGCCGGGCCATGTGCCCCAGGCGCCTCCTGCCAGGCCTGCCACGGCCGGCCTCATGGGCTCCCACAGCAGCTTGCAGACATAAAACGCGCTTCTAAAACCCGAGTCCCCGACAGGGTCAGCCAGCAGGAATGTCCATGAGCCGGGTCTTCCTCCAAAGCCTCTGTGTGACCCAAGCCTGGAGTCCCTCACCTTCCCCTGCCGGACTGGTCCCTCAATCCCTCACCCCCGCAGGTGCCTGACGGCTTCATCTCCCATTTCTACTCCGTATCGGAGCATGTGAGCCCCGTCCTGGCCTTCGGCTTCCTGGGACCCAAGCCCCAGCTCGCTGAGGTCTGTGCTTTCTTCAAGGTAAATGGAGCAGCTCCTGTTGTGCCCTGCCCTGGGCCGGGCACCAGGGTGATGGGAGGAGCTGAGGACGGAGGGAGCAGAGGGGCCGTGGGGCGGACGGGGCAGGGGGCAGGGCTGAGCCAGGCCAACCCCGTGCCCAGCACCAGATCGTGCAGTACCTGCGGGACATGTTTGACCTGGACAACGTGCGCTACACATCGGTGCCGGCGCTGGCGGACGACATCCTACAGCTGTCACGGCGGCGCAGCGAGATCCTGCTGGGCTTCCTGGGGGCACCCGTGGCCAGCAGCAGCATCATGAACGGGGCGCTGCCCTGCGAGAACGGGCCCCTGGGGGAGTTGCAGTAGCAGCGGCGCTGGCCACCTCCACCCTTGCTTTGGGTTGGCACCACGGGGCCGTGCGTGGTGGCTTGGCAGCTGCCTTGACCTTGCCCCACCCCCATCATCCAGGAGTCCCCAAGGCCCAGAGAACAGATTTCTGTGGAGAGGAACGGGCCTGCCCTCGGTGGTCCCTCAGGAAGCAGGGACCAGGGCCAGGGTCCAGCAGGGCCTGGGGGAGAGGAAGGTCATGAGAGAGAGGAAGGCGGTGTGGAGAGTTGGGACGGAAAAGCCAGGAGGCCCTGGGGGGGTCCCTGGAACTGCCCACCAGCCCCGGGCTGCTGATGAGGCCTGGGAGCCTGGAGGCTGGAGGTGAAGGGTGGGGGACAGGGCTCTGGCGACAGTCTCGGTGTCCTGCGGCCTTTCCACCCGGCCACTCGAAAGGGCCTACAACTCCGGAGGGAGAGTGGGGCACCCTGGTGGGCAGCAGGCCAGAGCTGTCACGACGTAGACGGACCGGCGGGCCTTCCCCAGGCTCACACTGGGGCAGGGGCCGGGCCCTTGACAGACCCAAGCACCAGCCTGTCCTTTGACATTCCCTTGCCCTGCCCGAGATTGTCCTTTTTCTTCCCCCCTCTGCCGCCACCAAAGACGAGAGCAGGTGGGGCTGGGCACCCCGTCTCCACCCCCCTTCTTCTGGGAGCTTAGAGCTCCTGGGTGGGGCTAAGCTCTGAGCTGGGGGCTCTGTCCAGGGGCACCAAGGCCCCAGTCGTGTGTGAGTCCAGGGACCCCAGCGGGGGGGTACAGGGTGTGTGTAGTGGACCAGCTCCCCCGCCCTCATCAGGACAAGAAACTGCGCACAGCACTTGGCCTTCGACTCAACGCACAAATGCTCGAGAGCGAGCAGGGTGAGGGCCTCCAGGATCCCCGATGGAGCCTTGTCAGCACTGGCCCCCCGCAGCCCCTCCCCGCTGCCGGGCTCCCATGGGCCCTGCACACGCCCTTCTCTCACAGTGTTTTCTCCTGAGCTGTTATTTATTGCCTTAACACTTGGCTTTGAGGCTCTGCCCCTTGCAGGCCAAGAGCCCCCCCCCCACCCCCCACCTGGCTGCTGTGCTCTGGAGTCAGAGGGCTGGCGCCTCGGAACTGGGCCCTCTCCCCTCGGTGGGAAAGGGGCCCAGGGAAGGGGTGTGACCGTGTGGCCAGATCCCCAGAACGCAGGACTCAAGGGCACTAATGTGGTCAGGCTGCAAGCTGCCACCGAGGCCGACACCTTGGTGGGGAGCAGCCTCCCCGTGGGAAGGACCCTGCACACCCATCCTGACATCCTGTTCTGTTGCACTTACCCTGCGCTGTGAATGGAACCTGGGCCTGGGCCCCACCCGCCCCGATTTGCTCCGAATGACCAGAAGTGGCGTTTCCATTTGTCTGTGTTTATGCGTCATGTACCACCTACAGCTCTTGACTGTCGCAGCTACACCTTTCATCCGGCAGAGTGTGTGCACCGACTGTGAGTCCAATAAACAACAGAACCCACTTCCTTCCAGCTTGCCGTGGAGTTGGTTACGTGGCCAGCCTCTGCCTCTTGGGCCCGAGCTGGGGACCTGCTCCTTGGGGCACGCTGGGTGGAGGTCCCAGGAGGACAGAGGTCAAAACCTGGTGGGGCTGTGATCCCACTTGGGGCCACCAGGCAGCCTGACGGGGCCCACGTGTTCCCAGGAAAGGAGGAGGGTCCTGGGGGTGGGTGGCTAAGGGTGCAGAGTGGCCAGCACCAAGCTTGAGGACACAGACACCAAGTCGGCAGCCTGGCTGTGCACCTAGCTCAAGCACCCTCTGAGGGAGGTCACTCGGGCAGCCCCCTTGGGTCCCCTCCCATTGTGGGAGCTTTTCTGTCCTTTCAATAAATCCTGCTTTCAAAACAAAAAAAAGGTCACTCCACTCGGGCCTCAGCTTCCACATCTATAAAGTGTAGGCATTGCAGGCTTAAAGGATGTTACTGAAGCTATCTGAGTTATAAGAGCCGGGGTGAGGGGCCAGGAGGGGTAGGAACAGGAAGATCCAAGCCTGCCAGCTTTCCAGATGTTTCCACAGTCAGTGGGACATACCAGTTTTATTTGTAAAGTTTTTATTTATTGTAGAGACGAGGTCACCAAGTTGCCCAAGCTGGTCTTGAACCTGTGGGCTCAGGCAGTCCTCTCACCTTGGCCTCCGAATGTGCTGGGATTACAGGCATGAGCCACCACACCCAGCCTTTCCCTTGCTGATATAAGGGAGCTCGAGAGGGAAGGTGGCCATCCCAGTGCCTACAGCGAGACCTTGGCGGCCCTAGGCTGGGCGCCGAGCTCTCTTGAGCCAGCCCAGTGCCCTGTCCACTGCCCCAGCCCTCCCTTGGAGTTGCCTGTGCTTTCCTCAGGTCAGGGGCAGCCACGGGGCTTCTGCTCATATCACTGGCGCATCCTTCCATTCACATCCCGTTCCCTTGCAGCTGCAAGGAGAGGTGGTGGGTGACATCTCGTGGCCCATGTGCGGCTTCCACAGAGTGCTCAAAAGAGGCTTGGATGGCAGTGTGTGTGTGTGTGTGTGTGTGTGTGTGTGTGTGTGTGTGTGTGTCGGTGTCCCACTCCATCGCTCAGACTGGAGTGCAGTGTCAGGCTCACGGCCACCCCAACATCAACCCGCCGGGCTCTGGAGAGGTGGTGGGTGACATCTCGTGGCCCATGTGCGGCTTCCACAGAGTGCTCAAAAGAGGCTTGGATGGCAGTGTGTGTATGTGTGTGTGTGTGTGTCGGTGTCCCACTCCATCGCTCAGACTGGAGTGCAGTGTCAGGCTCACGGCCACCCCAACATCAACCCGCCGGGCTCTGGTGACCATTAATTCAGCCTTTCAAGTAGCTGGAGCTACAGGCATGTGCCACAACACCCAGCTAGTTTTTGTGGTTTCGTGTAGAGATGAGGTCACACCATGTTGCCCACACTGGTCTCAAACCCTGGGCTCAGGCAGTCCTCTTGCCTCGGCCTCCCAAAGTGCTGGGATGACAGGCTGAACCACCTGACCTTGAGTGACGATCAAATGGCTTCCAGGATGTATGCACAATGTGACAGGACAGCGGAAGAACCATCATTCATTTGTTCACCATGTATCTGTTGTGCACCGACTGTGCCAAGCTTTGCTGTGGGCGCTGCACAGGCTGTGTGAAGTGGGCTGGAGCTGGCCTGCCCCGCCCGTTTTTGAGAGCTGCCCAACCCCAGGAGTGAGCATGTACCTGTGGACATCCACAGATACTACAAACCAGGGGAGTGGCAGCCCGGGGGGTGAGCCTGGTCATTTCTGCCTTGGAGATTCAGCCCCGTGATGTGGAACCCTAGACTCTGCTTTCCAGAAGCTTTAGTGACCGCTCCTTTCAGATTTTTTTTTTCTTAAGAGACAAGGTTTTGATTGTCCAGGATGGAGTGCAGTGGCGTGATCGTAGTTCACTGCAGGCTTGAACTCCTGGGCTCAGGTGATCCTCTCACCTCAGCCTCTTGAGTAGCTAGGACTACAGGTGCATTAGCACACCTGGCTGACTTTTTATTTTCTGTAGAGACGAGGTCTTGCCATGTTGTGCAGGCTGGTCTTGAACCAGGCTCAAGCGACCCTCCCACCTCAGCCTCCCAAAGTGTTGGGATTACAGGCATGAGCCACCATACCGGGCCTTCTCAGAGGTTCTGGCAAAAATGTCACTTTTAGTTGGCGAACGTTTGTTTTTCTACCTGGCATCTTCGGGACCCAGGGGTTCTCCAACCTGCACTGGAATGACAGTTTCCCGAGGGCGGTGCCAGCTGGTCGTGTTCATATTCCATTCCTGACACCCACGCAGGGTCTGGCATCGCAAAGAAACCAAGATAGTCCCTGAGGTGGGCGGGGTGCACCATCTTGACTCATTGCTGCCTGAGACACGGCTTCTGTTCCACTAAGTGTTTACAAAAAACAGTGGAGGATTCTTACCACATAATGTGCCTATGAACCGGAAGCCTGTGCAAAGTATGGAAAGAAGGCATTATGGCTGGGTGCGGTGGCACACACCTGTAATCCCAAGCACTTTGGGAGGCCGAGGCAGGAGGATCGCTTGAGCCCAGGAATTCAAGACCAGCCTGGGCAACAGAATAAGACCCTATGTCTACAAACAAAGTTTAAAAATTAACTACAGGCTGTGCGCGCCTGTTGTCCCAGCTACTCAGGAGGCCCAGGCAAGAGGTTCGTTTTGAGCCCAGTATTTCAAGACTGCAGTGAGCTGTGATTGCACCACTGCACTCAAGCCTGGGCAACAGAGCAAGACTTAATCAAAAAAATTTTTTGTATTCTGTTTAATAAGGAATCAGAAAAAACAAGATACTGAAAACACTCTAAGTTCCAGCCATAGAAGCCTCAGAAAAAATAAAAGCGATGATTTAGGGTTTTTTTTGTTTGTTTGTTTGGAGACAGGTCTTACTGCACTCCAGCCTGACAGTGAGACCCCGACTCAAAAAAAGTCAGTTTGAGAATGAAAAACAGTATTTCCTGAAATAAATGAAGGAAAGTCTAACCTAGAGGGCAGCATTCACCATGTTTTGGGGAAACAGGCTCAGAAAGGGAAAGAGACTTGTCGCCTAAGAGCTTGCTGGGGCTTTGAACACAAAGCATTGTGGCCAGGGTGCCATGCGACTTTACACTCTGATCTCAGGTCACCCTATCTGTGAGCTCTCTGCCAGAGGAAGGGCTGGCGTGAGAAGCCAGACGCTGCCCTGGGACGGGGGACTGTCTGGGGACCCCTGGCTGGTGGGAGGAGGCAGCTGGCAGGCTGGTTCATGAGTCAGAAAGCGGCTCTGATGCTGGGCCTGCCCACCAGGCTGACCAGGATTCAAGGCCCAGCTCTGCCACATGTTAGCCCGGTGCCCACGGCAAACAGTTGGCCACCGTGAGCCTCACTGAACTTGGCTACGGACTGGGATCACTGCAAGCTGCCTGGAGGGCTGTGTGTGATGGTGACATGGAGGATTAAGGATGCAGCCCTGGCAGGACACGCA